GGAGGGGGGAGGGGAGAAGAGCCGTTAGGAGGGGGGGGCGTGGGACTGTCTATGTAGCGTGACGGTTTGTCATGCTGACCACAAGCTGGGCGGGGTGGGGGGGAGCAGGCGATGCCAGGTTGCCTGCCCCTGTGTGAGGGGACGCTGGAGCCTGGCCTGGTTACCTGTGCCTGGAGGGTGCAGAAGATCCCTCTCCAGCCCTGAAACATCAAGGGGTGTGGGTTTGTGTTTTTCATAGGCAAAATGAATGCTATATTTTATGGAGCCAACTGCTCTAACCACAAGCTGGGCGGGGTGGGGGGGAGCAGGCGATGCCAGGTTGCCTGCCCCTGTGTGAGGGGACGCTGGAGCCTGGCCTGGTTACCTGTGCCTGGAGGGTGCAGAAGATCCCTCTCCAGCCCTGAAACATCAAGGGGTGTGGGTTTGTGTTTTTCATAGGCAAAATGAATGCTATATTTTATGGAGCCAACTGCTCTAAATGAAAGAAACAAGCTTCCGAGCTTGCACACAGCTCTTCAAGTCTTTTTTTAAAATTATATATATTTAATACGCTTTGCAAGCCGCTTCAGCATCCCTTCCCCTTCTTTACCTAGGCTGTGTCTAGACTGGCATGATTTTCCGCAAATGCTTTTAACGGAAAAGTTGTCCGTTAAAAGCATTTGCGGAAAAGAACGTCTAGATTGGCATGGACGCTTTTCCGCAAAAGCACATTTTGCGGAAAAGCATCTGTGGCCAATCTAGATGTGCTTTTGTGCAAAAAAGCCCCAATCTTGAGGCTCCCAAATCTTGAGAGTGGCTTGAAAATCAAGAAGTTAAAAACTTCCCAATTTTTTTAGTTTTCTTTTTAAGGGTTATGAGCCTTTGGGGTTATTTTCATGCGTTCAGTATCAAAAAAGTAAAGGCTAGTCTACGCTGGCAGCTTCTTGCGGAAGAACAGCCGTACTTCCACATAAAGTTGCCGGCTGTCTACACTGCATGAGCATTCTTCCAGAAGTAAATTTACAGTATAGCATTGTAAAACAGGGTTTCTTCCAGAAGAGTTATTCCTCTCCTCGCGAGGAATAAGCCCACTTGCGCAAGACCTCTTCCAGAAGAGGGCAGTATAGACAGGCAACATGAATTTCTTGTGCAAGAAGCCCCAATGGTCAAAATGGCCGTTAGAGCTTTCTTGCGGAAGAGATTGTCTACACTGTCACCGATGCTCTTGTGCAAAAGCACATCTCTGGAGAGATTGTCTACACTGCCACCGATGCTCCTGTGCAAAAGCACATCTCTTGTGCAAAAGCACATGGCAGAGTGGATGCTCTCTTGTGGAACTCTTCTGCAAAAGTTCTTGTGCAAGAAGCTGCCAGTGTAGACATAGCCAGATAGTGTGAGTTGCCAACACAAGAGAGAGACTTGTTGCTTTGAGAAGATGAGTGTAAGTAGGTATGGGATGGGTAATGTAATCTGCTTCCTTTTATAGTGTGCCTTCTCACTCTGCTGTCTCCAGACCCTGAAAACTGCCTTTTACGTGTTCTCAATTACATCTGCTTTGAGTCAACATGGGACCCAAGAAGCAATCTTGTGGGAAGAAGTTCTCGCAGGTTGAGAAATCGGGCAGAGATGGAAATATCAAGGATTATTTTATGGTATGTTAATGTTGGTTTATATTCTCAGCAGTGTTGCCCCATCTCAATCTCCAGTAACTATACGCAGCGGTGGCAGGTTTGTATAATTTTTGGTGGTGCCCCATTAGCCACACACCCTAGCCCCCGTTAACCAGGCCTCTGGAGGTAACACGCTCAGGGCAAGATGGACACATGACCAGAAGTAAAAGGTGTCATGTCACCCCTCTCGAGGGACTTTTCCCACCATCCTCCTACCAACAGGGATTAGTTTGGCCCTCACCAAACCCCCCCTCATGCAACTATCCTGCAATTGCATTAACCCAACGTGTGTGACATTAACTCGGGGGCAGAGAGACTGGGGGAAGTGTTCCCTCTAAGGCTATGTCTATACTCATGGTTTCTTGCGCAAGTATAGCCGTTCTTGCACAAGAACCCACAGAGTATCCACACTGCCCACCTGCTCTTGCGCAAGGAAATTTACAGTATGGCGTGGTAAGAGAGGGTGTCTTCCATAAGACCTATGCTCTTTTCTAACAAGTGTAAGCTCTCTTGCTCAAGAGTGCAGTGTGAATGCTCGGCAGGGATTTCTTGCACAAGAAACCCCTATGGCTAAAATGGCCATCGGAGCTTTCTTGTGCAAGAGAGTGTCCACACTGCCATGGATGCTCTTGCACAAAAGCACAGCTTGCACATGACAGTGTGGATGTGTTCTTGTGCAAGACTTCTTGCACAAGAACCTTTGCGCAAGATGTTCTTGTGCAAGAAGCCACCATGGTTGCATGTCATTTTGCTTGCTGGCCCTATCCACTAAACAATGCTCTTATTTTACTTGGGGTAAGATAGTCCTGGGCATGGTTTAGTTAATGGGTACAACACAGGTTTACTGGATTTGCAGCATAACTATATTAGTAAATTCTCCCAGAGGAACCATGCCAGATTTTAAATGTTCTTCTTATGTGGCAAAACATGGGTGTCGTGTGTGAACATGCACACTGTGCGAACGTGACCAGTAAAGCCTGCCTCCATACTGAGTCTTGGTTTAACATAACAGAGCTACAAAAGGGAAACTGCAACTGATAATCACACTGTGGATTATTTGTTATTTTTCAGCCGAAGAATGGGCAAGATTCAAACCCCCCACCACCAAAAAGGAGGAGATCCAGCTCCAGGGCCAATGCCCTGAAGGATATTAGTAAGACCTCAATGTCTATTGAGAATCCTGGAATCAAGACCCTCAATCTAACGACAGTGAGGATAAAGTATTCACTATTAGCTTAGATAAAAATGGAGGGAAGCATGTTGTGAAAGGCAAAGCCAGTGACACTATTTATACTGCCCTGATGCGTCTGAAAGATGTCCAGATGGACGTCAACAAGCAAAAGGGCAAGAAACTGTATCTGCAAGAGAAAAAGAAGATGAAGGCATTTGTGAACTTAGGAATGCCCATCAAGTGTCTGCCTAAGAAGTCTCACTTTGAAATGAAGTTTTATAAAGTGAAGAGAGACCAGGAAGGTAGTGAGCTGGGATACCGTCAGCTTGACATCAGAGAAACTCCATGCGTTGTATTTTATATTTTACCCATTGGCAAGAAAGGGCCTGGCGGGAAACGGCTTCAAAGAATAATGTGGTGCCAGGAGCTTGAAGAACAGCGCTGCAGGATATGTGTCTTTGCCCTGAAAGGAGAAACCATCAAGGAAGCTGTGTGCAAGGATGGACGGTTTCATTCCATTTTGGGGGAAAAGGAGTGGAAAATAGTGGAGAACTGTGAAACAATACACAATAGTCACTATTCTGTTGATGATTTGGACAATCGAATATTTGAGGTGGAGGTCGAAATTGAGCATGCCGGTAGGGCAAAGAATGAGCAGCATGATGCAGCCACTCGGGCAGAACAGGGGGAAGCATTCTATCAGTTTAAACCAGCAGTTCTGGATCAGTATCCTGAATTAAAGAATCAAAGTGAATTGATCAAAGAGTTCTTTAAAGAGGAAATTTCACGGTCACGGAAGGGCATCAAGGCTCTGCTGGAACTGCATAGAAAAAATTTTAGTAAGGAGACGAAGAATTCTACTGCAGTTTGGGTGCATAAACTGCTTGCTGGACTGAGCAACTCAGTAGGGTATCTAGAATGGGACTACAATGGAAACAGTGGCAGTGCCACTTGCTTTATGTTATGTGATGGGTACATTCTGACCTGTCGTCATGTGGTGAGCAATGCAACAGGGGCAGGAGTTGAGGAGCAGCACTGGGCAGAAATTAGTCAGTCTGTCAAGGTTACCTTCTCTTATGAATTCAAACACCCTAAGGAAGATGATTGGTTCTACTTAGAGCCATGGTTAGAAATATCAGACCAGGCTCTTGATTATGTCGTCTTGAAACTGAAGGGAAGGAGCACTAAGTTCCCAGATGGATTGGCAAAACATATATCTTCGCCACCATTTAGTGGCCTGATTTATATCATTGGCCACCCTGATGGAAAGGAGAAGTCCACAGATGGCTGCTCTATAGTAACCCGATATGAGTGTGGTTGGAGGTGCTCTGAACGCATCCAGAGAGGGAAGGTGGAAGACCACAGCTTCACCAATTGCGGTACCATCCTTGAGAACAGAACCAGCGGGTGCATTCACATGTTCACTCAGAGGAGTTTCCAGGAAGTGAATTATAATCCTCACATAGTCACCTATGACACCAACTTCTTCGGTGGCTCCTCTGGCTCACCTGTGTTTGATGCATCTGGCCACCTGATTGCCATGCACACCGCTGGCTTCTTGTACAAGTACCGGAACCAGGACCACAGCATTATTGAGTGGGGCTACTCCATAGAGGCCATTTTATTTGATATCAAAAGAAAGAATCCAGAATGGTATGAATCTGTGCTAGGTGAGCTTGTGAAGGGTACTGAGGATTCCTTTGGTCACTCTGAGGACACTTCAAAGGTTCCTTATAATAATTGTGAAGGAGCCACCAGAGTGGAGACCAATGATGTAACAATGGAAAGTGACCATGAGTAGGAAAGTGGCAGAGACTTGGAAAGGGATGATTTAGTGGAGGATTTAATTCCTTCTCGAAGACCCACTGTCTGAATTCTTACAATGCTTTTCTGATGTCACTTCCCAGTCGCCTGTTTGTTGGAACAATTTTATCTATGGACTCCACAACCTTTGCCATTCAACAAGTGATCCAACCCTAGCTTCTGATAAACAGAGGCTAGAGATGCCATTCCCACCCATCCTGACTAATAGCCATTGATGAACCTATACTCTCTGGCTGCGTCTACACCAGCATGTGCTTTTGCGCAAAAGAAGTGCTTTTGTGCAAAAGCATCCGTGCCAGAGTAGACGCTCTCTTGCTCAAGAAAGCTCCGATGGCCATTTTAGCCATTGGGCTTTCTTGAGCAAGAAATTGATGTTAGCTGTCTACACTGGCCGCTTGCGCAAGAGGACTTATCCCTGAGTGGGAGGGTGAGAATATTTGCGCAAGAAGCACGGATTTCAGACAGTAAAATGTCAGTGTTCTTGCGCAAATACTCGCAGCCAGTGTAGACAGGCGGCAAGATTTTGCACAAAATCTTGCCAATGTAGACACAGCCTCTAAGTTTATCTAGCTCTTTTTAAAATCCTGTTAAAGTTCTGGCTTTCACAACATCCTCTGGCAATGAGTTCCACAGCTTAACCATGTGTTCATCCATATGAATGATCACTTGGTAGTAATGAGATCCATATTTTTAGGGATCCTGTTCCCTCATTTGGCTGTGTAACATGCATCTTCACTGCCAAGAGTGGCAACTAATTAGAGAGTTCTAAAAGGGATTCTGTAATTTAGCAACCTGTTAAAATCCCATGTTCTATGTCCAACAGGAAGAACCTCACTCTGAAGCCTTTGTTTCTGATGCTAAAGCAACAGGGTCAGAGTTTCAAATTAGGAAAGTGTTAAATTTGAAATCTAATCCAAAAATAGAACATTTTTAAAAATTCTGGCCCCTTTTTTTTTTAACTGTCATGAAAATAAATCTTATTCAATTAATTTTGTAAAGCCATAACCGAATCCATAGCCTCTCAGGGAGGGATTAAATCCTATGCTATGGGTATTTTTTGTTTCATGCAGAGGTCTTGTTTACACGACATATTTGCTCTAGTTTAAAGGTGTGAAATTAAACTGATTAGTTAACGCAAAAATCTGCACCAGTTAAACTAAATCATGTTCATTTAATATCTTTATTTAAACTGATCTAACTCTCTCACGTAGACAAGGCCTCAAAATCAGCTGAGTCCTTTTGTAGAGCTGTTCCATCTGACGTACAAGTTTTATGGAGGGTAGAAACTTTGGGGTAAAAGGATGCAACTAATAAAATGGGTGATGGTATTTTAATGGTAGGCAAGTGATCCCTATATTTACAATATATATATATTTGGAATCCTTTGTTTGAGGGGAGAGGGGGAAGCATATAGCTAGGGGCTTTATAGTTATGTCACTTTAACCTTTTCTCCTGCCTGAGGTGCTCACTACTAATGGATCTCAGGAATAAGGGGGTAATTCCACTTTGCTTTCTTTTATAATCTATCATTTGGCTAATGGCTTTTTCACTTTCCCACTCTATTGGAAATAAGAATTAGGCATCATGAGAGAGGAAGTCACTGCACTTTTTACTAATACCACCAGCACATATCTGACTCCACTTCTGATCACGAATCTGGAATCATCTAGTTCACCCTCCATAAGCTCAGAGGCATAACGCAGGCATCAGCAGCATTATTTCCACACTTACACTACAATGTCATCAGTGTAAGCAATAATTTGTGATGTCATTAGCATATTTTCTGCTGATACTTTTTGCACAAGGGGTTTCGCGACTCATGCTAATGAGTCCATCATTAGCATACTCTCTACTGCAAAAACTTGTAGTATAGACATAGCCAAAGTGTAGAGCACACATTTATAACTGAAATATTGTCTTTAAACTGGGCCAGATCCTTCTTTGGTTTAACCTGACATTCCTTTTTATAGCACTGCCTAGGGACAGTGGGAAAAGGGGGAAGTTTCCTGCTCTTTTTGATCTTGCTAATATGAATAGATTCAAAGTTAAACAGCGCCCAAACTGCAGGGCACCCACAAGTTGCAGGCTTATATGAACTACATTGTGAAATTAATTAGTTTCACTGAGGGTATGTCTACACTACTACCCTAGTTTGAACTAGGGTGGTAAGGTTGGCAACCGGAGTTGCAAATGAAGCCCGGGATTTGAATTTCCCGGGCTTCATTTGCAACTCCGGTTGCCAACCTTACCACCCTAGTTCAAACTAGGGTAGTAGTGTAGACATACCCTCAGTGAAACTAATTAATTTCACAATGTAGTTCATATAAGCCTGCAACTTGTGGGTGCCCTGCAGTTTGGGCGCTGTTTAACTTTGAATCTATTCATATTAGCAAGATCAAAAAGAGCAGGAAACTTCCCCCTTTTCCCACTGTCCCTAGGCAGTGCTATAAAAAGGAATGTCAGGTTAAACCAAAGAAGGATCTGGCCCAGTTTAAGGTCATAAGTAAATTAGATGAATGATTTGGGTTTTTTAAAATCTAAAACAAAGTTAGTCACCAGATAAAGAGAATAAATGCTATTGAATCTGAAAATATTTCTCAAATGGGATAAAATGTATTCATATCTGCATTGATACTCATGTTGATTATAAGCATACTTATTTGACATGTATCTTCTTTAAGTCCTTATGTATCAAATAGCCGTGCAATCTATGAATCTTTAAATACATTTTTAAAATATTTCTCATTTTGATGCATTCATTGAATTTTTATCAAGCCAGTAAGAAACCTTTCCCATTTTGTATGTATAGTGAGAGCGGCAAGCAGGCAGTAGTGGAGTTCAGTGGATTGTCAGAAGTTACAGAGTCAAAAAAGCCTCCAATGGTATCACTGTGGGCTGGGAGCAGCTCAGATCCAACACAGCCAGCAGCTCCCATGCTGCCAGCCCACTGCATGAATAGGTAGTCTCCAGAGAAAATCACTGTGCTGTAGGAAACGTCACATCAGTAGGTGGTGCTCTTCCCTCTCTGTACTCAACCACTCTTGAAAGTAACACAACTGGAGGGAGCTGTAAAACATAGCCTTGCCCCTTAGAGCCTAAGACACTGTAGCCCTGCAGGGCAGTCTCCCTTTGAAGCCTGGGTCTGTAAAGCTCTGGATGAAAAGCCTTTGCCAGTGAAAACTCACCTATGAACACACTGAATCTTCCTTGCTGGCTGGAGAGCTCATAGCTCCACAAGTTCCCTTCAGCGATTGTTGATATTCCACCGTGCTGTGCTGGGTATTACTGTCATAGCCAGTGCCAGGAGCTCTCTAGCATAACGACTAGGACACTGTTGGCTAGTCCTTAGTCACACAAACCCTCCATACAAAGTGTGATGGGATTCTCAGGTGCAGTTTGGGATTACAGAACTGTTGTGCCTATTTAACTCTCCAGCCTGCTCTCTCTCTCAGTGCTCTGCTAGTGCCAAACAGCACACCCCTCCAAACACTGTGATCACTCTGCACAAGCACATGTGGAGCTCTAGCCAACTAGATTGCATGAGTGTGTCCAGCACCACTCATGAGTTGCACAGAGAATGGCATCAGCCAAATCCCCACCCAAATCCTAGCCTTGGACCTCAGGATTAGAGTGACTTGCACTTCTCAAGGTGAGCAGTGTGAATTTATTAATTGGTTCACTATTTTAACAGTGTAAAATGGATCTCTACCAGCCTTTGCAAACGTGAGCAGATTAACCCCATCTTTCAGGCAAACTCACTGGCAAAGATAAACAGGAAAACAAATGTATTGACTACGAAGGAGATTTCAAGTGATTATAAATGATAGGGAAAAGAAAATAGAAGCATGCAGTCTAAACTTTCAATCCTATTACACTGAGGAACAGCTAGATTATTCAGTTTTTCTCACCCTATGGGGTATTGTCATTCATGATGATACTCCTATAAGCAGATTTCCATAAAGCACATGGAATATTGTGTCACAGCCAGGTCTCCGCACTCAACCTTGTGGGGAGCAGGCAGCTGTTCTCCTATCACTGTCGTTTTGGGGGCTTGCCTTTGCCAGGAGTGCAGGGAGAGATTGACCAGAAGAGGGAGATCCCAGCTCACTCCTGAAACTTCAAGGCACTTGGGCATCATAAGAACAGCCACACTGGGTCAGACCAAAGGTCCATCTAGGCCAGTGTCCTGTCTTCCGACAGTAGCCAATGCCAGGTGCCCCAGAGAGAGTGAACAGAACAGACAATCATCCAGTGGTCCATCCCGTCACCCATTCCCAGCCTCTGACAGAGGCTAGGGACACCATTCCTGCCCATCCAAGCTAATAAGTATTGATGGACCTAACTTCCATGAATTTATCTAGTTCTTTTTTAAACCCTGTGAAATTCTGATCTTCACCACATCCTCTGGCAAAGAGTTCCACAGGTTGACCGTATGTTGTGTGAAGAAATACTTCCTTTTGCTTGCTTTAAACCCACAACCTATTAATTTCATTTGGTGACTTCTTTTCTGTAACATGTGTGGCATATACAAAATACATGCTTGTCTGGTCTGGTGTGAAGGTTTTAACTGTGCAGTGTGAATGCCCTGCATAACTGGTCTTGTGACTCCATTGCTGAATGGCGGTTTTATTTATTTGCATTAAATAAAGCCTTTATATCACACCCCATCAATATGAATTCCATATCCTCTTCCATCCCCATGCATAGCTTGAAGTCATGCCTTCTGCTTTATGGGCATTTTAATAACCCTGACATAGCTTAGATCCACAATGTTGGGTGCACTAGAAATGGAGAGAAAGGTAAATGAAACCGAATACCAGGGAAATCACACATTTACAGAAAGTTGTTTGGTACTCTAATACCACACAGAAAATTAATGACTACCAGTCAAATACTTCTTTTATTTTGTTGTTGTTGTTGCTGTGACTGTTTAATCAAGGAGTGAGCTCCTTGAGGCATTATTTTTAATCCTCATTTTTAAGTGGCTCCTTAACAAAGGGCATTGTGTTCCCTTCATTCTACCAGGGCTGTGCAGCACTGGAACGACCACTCAAGGGAGCTGAATGAAGCTTGGGTGGTAGCCGTGTGGAACCACCTGGCAGCTCGTCACCCTGATCATGAGCCCCCGAACCCTGCAGAAACCATTCCACAAATGCATTCCACAAACCCATCACATCCACCCACAGGCCCTGGGCAGAGGGCCCCAAGCCATGCAGGGGCCTGGCCCACTGTGTTCCTCACAAGTCAGCACTTCCCTGCTATCAATCCCTACTCTAAAAAGGTGTCTAGTGTCCCCTGTCAGCCATGCTAAGGCTGTTGCTCCCTGCTAGACATAGCATTTCCAGCTCCCTTAGCGAATCGCCCCCACCCCTGGCTCCTCTCCACAGGGCAACCTCCCCCCCGCCCCCCGAGCCTAGCCCATCTCCTTCCTCAGCTTCCTTATCCAATCCTCCACACTTGGCATATCCCATTCCCTTCAGCTTTCCTTCCCCAGAGCTCCCCCCTAGCTCTCTTCCCCAGAGCTCCCCAACCTGGCCTGCTCCCTTCCTACCTCAGCTCCCCTTCCCATGGTCCCTCACACCTGGTCTAACCCATCTCCCCAGCTCTCTTAGCCAATCTTCCCTAACTAACATGTCCCTTTCCATTAAGCTCCCAGGCCTCTTCCCCCCATCAGCTTTCTGTCCGAGGGTTTCCCCCAGCATGACTGCCCCTATGTCCACCCCCTGAGGCGGATGATGTGTGCATGGATCTCATGGGCTCTCCTCTCCTAGCTGTTGGGCGGGGTGCTCTTCACAGCACAGCTGGCCATGAAGGGTTCTCCTGAGCTCCCCTAGAGAAGGAAGAAGGCTGCCAATAGTTCAATTATCTAGCCACAGCTCAGCTGGACTGAGATTCTGTGCTAGACGGACCGGTGCTCTGAGCTCTACAAGAAATCTGTCCCTTGTTGCTGTTTGTTCTTTCTCCCAAAACCACAAGTGATCATGGCTTATCCAGCAGAACCTCAGCGTTACAAACACCATTGGAATGAGGGCTGTTCATAACTCTGAAATGTTCCCAGCTCTGATTAAAACACTTTGGCTGTTCCTTCAAATGTTTACAGCTGAACATTGACTTAATAGCACTTTGAAACTTTACTGTGCAGAAGAAAAATGCTGCTTTCCTGGGGGGGCGGGGGGTTAGCGGTTTACAGGGCGGTACTGTATTTGCTTTTGGTTGGTTGGTTTTTTGTTCTTTGCTGCTGCCTGGTTACATATTTCTGGGTTCAAATGAGGTGTGTGGTTCATCGGTCAGTTTGTAATTCTGGTGTCTGTAACTCTGAGGTTCTGCTGTAATTGGATTTAATTTTAGATCTTAATGACCGCGGGGGGCGAGGGGGAGCAGCTAAGGAAGACATATTTCTGGTCCATAGCCAGGTAGTTTCTGCACCAATTAAAATTTCATGCAAAGGGCGCAACACACACATGTATAACTGGAAAGTTGTCTTTAAGATGGGCCACCGAATGAGGCATCCTTCTTCAGTTTAACCCAACAGATTCCTTTTGATCTCTGTTCCTGGGGGATAGTGGGAGAAGGAGGCAGTTTCCCAATCTTTTGTTCTTGGCCAGTGAATTTTTTAAAAGTAAACAGTGCCCTACACTCCAGGCAATGCAGAGGTTGTAGCCAAGGTAGCCAGCAGACTTGCCAGGATTCTGGGGGAAAGTGTGTGGGAGTGGGAGGTGTCAGCTCTGGGTTCCCCTGGAAGGGGGTCTCAGGTGGAAGGGATGGGGTAGGGAGCTAGCTTCCCACAGGGAGCCTTTCAGCACCCCCCAGTGTGGGGCTTGGGTGGTGATTTAAAGAGCCCAGGATTCAACTGCTGTTGCGGAAGCAGCTGGAAGCCCTGGGCCCTTTTAAATTGCCAGGCCCCAGGGTAGCTGCTCCCTTTGTTCCTCTCCCGCCATCCTGGGCCCTGGTTGCAGCCTTACCTTACTGCATAGGAACCTCAAAGTGAAACCAACTCATTGGTTTCATTGAGCGAGTTGAGACGAACAGATAGAGTACATAAGTAAATTAGAAGGCTGATTTGTTTGTTTAAATCTTTCAGATGAAATTAGTCACCAGATAAAGGAAATAAAGGCTGTTGAATCTGACGCTGTCCCTTAAACATTCTGAATGCGAGAAAATAAACATGTTCATATTAGGGATGTGAAGGTGTAGCTGGTTAACTGGTGAGGATTACTGGTTAAGGTTAACTAGTGGGGCTGGAGTGGGCTGCTCCTGCCCCACGGGAGGCCTTCTGCAGACAGGTTACATTTAACCGGTTAGCCAATTTAATGGGATTTTACATCCCTAGTTCACATGTGTATGGATGCTCATGTGCGGATTCTGTACATATTTAGTCATGTATCTGTCCTGTTAACTCCTTAGGGATCAAACAGCTGTGCACCCTGTCAATCTTTACATGTGTTTTTAAAAAACCTCTCATTTAGATGCATTCGTGGAGTTTTCATGAAGCTAGGAAGACACCTCTGCCATTTCGTAGGTGTAGGGGGCGAGGTGCGGTCGAGAGTACAGTACTATGTCAGAAGCTGCAGAGTTCAGAAGCCTCCAGCTGCCCCCATCCCACCCCCAGCCAGCCCAGCGCCAGGCTCAAAAGTCTCCAGAAAAAATCACTTCAGTAGGCGGTGCTCTTCCCCCTCCGTACGCAGCCGGCCGAGCGCCTATGGCACACTAACCCTGTTGTCCCAGCCAGATCCCCCATCCCACTTGGATCATTGGTCTGTAACAATGGCGTAGCCACAGGTGGGCCTGAGTGGGCTATGGCCCACTCAAAATCAGGGCCCACCCAAATGGGTCCTTCTGGTTACGCCACTGGTCTGTAAAGCTCTGGATGAGAAGGCTTGGCCAGTGGAATCTCACCCCACAGTGCTGAATTTTCCCTGGTCCTTGCTGGCTGGAGATCTCATTGCTGCACCAGTCCCCGGCAGTGACTGGGATCACACCCAGTGCGGTGTTGGGTGTTACTGGGCTGGCCCATGCCAGGAGCTGCCTAGCATGATGGCCAGGACACTGCTGGCTAGTCCTTATCCACCTGTGACCTTCTGGGGAAAGATTGACATCAAAGAGTCCAAGGTCAGCCCTAGTTCTCCTCTCCCTGCTCTGTCCTGACTCCCGGGCCTGGCCTCTGCCTCAGCCTCCTTGCTGGTATCCTGCGACTTCTCAGCACACAGCTGCAATGTGTCACTCAGGGTCAGTCCAGAGTAATGGGCCAGGTAGCTGGGAACTTTTTCAGCTCCCCTTGCCCGCTGGCTTCCTCTGCTCCTGCCCACCTGCCTATCTGGGGTGAGGTCTCGGGTCCTCTGTCACTCCACGCTGCCCTAACCACGCCCCAGCTGTCCTTACCTTGCTGACCTCTGCCAGCTGCTCTCCATTCACCTCTCTGCCCTGTTATTTTTAAATCACAGAATCGAATCATAGAATTGAATCATAGAATCAAATCACTGAATCATAGAACACTAGAACTAGATGGGGCCTTCAGTGGTCACTGAGTCCAGTCCCTTGTCCTCATGGCAGCACCAGGCACCATCTAGATCAGGAACAGAAGAGAATTAAGGGATCTTTTTTTAAAATCGGCCTGTCCTTTAGTTACTTTTTGCCTAGTCTGGAAAGCCCTGGCAGCAGCGAGCTAAGCACATGCTCCCTGACAGTGGGCTTGCTGCAAGAGCACACAAGCACCCTTCCTATTTCTGCAGGACACAGTTTTCTGGCT